GCTATGAAGCGTCAATTAACTACATGAAACAAATGGGTGAACTACAGGGGAAAAGTGACAGTGAAATCAGTGCAATAAAGCACTGACCTGAAAATATAGATAATTGCTGTAAATGTGGACTTACCCATCAAAATGGGAAATGCCTTGCTCAAGGTGGCATTTGCTCAGAAAGTGGATAGAAGAACTGGGCTAAGATGTTAAAGGAAAAACTGATAGGCAGCCACAGATAAACTGGACTAAGAAATGCTAAAAATCCACACCAACACAGCCCAATACATAGAAAAATCAACATCAGAACTCCATTCATGTTCAGAACCAGATAGAGGATAGCTTTGAGAAGATGTCTTTCTATATAATGGAAAAGCACGGAAAAAAGAACTCTTGGATTGAGGTATTCACCACACTGGACATAATATTATCAAACAAAAAAGGTGTACACAACCTAAAAGCCAAGGTGGACACAGGTGCAGAGGGAAATATATTTCCCTTGTGTACATTTCAGCAGATATTTCCAAAAGGGGTAGACCAGAATGAGCAACCAATCGACAGAACAACACAAACAGAAACAACAGTACTGATGGCTTACAACAGATCCAATATCCCACAACATGGATCTGTACAGATTCAATGTGCCTATGAGGGTGAATGGAGATACATCAAATTTTATGTTGTGATTTCCACAGGACCTACCATATTAGGATTACACTCCCTTAAGGACTTAAAGCTGGTCATTCTACACTGTGCCATCCAGAAAACAAAGAATGCCCTTTGGACTCGTGATGTCACAAGATGTATTCCAACAAAAGATGGACATGATAATAGAGAAGTGCACTGGAGCATTGGCATTGATTGATGATGTGATCATCTATGGGAAAACCAGAGTGGAGCACGACAAGAACTTATGGAAATTGATGCAGGCCTCACCTTCAACAGTGACAAATGTGCAGACAACCAGAAACAAGTAAAATTCTTCAGTGCCATTTTCAACAAGAATGGGATATGCCTAGATCCCAGAAAAGTAGAGGAAATAAAATCATTTCCCAGCCCAACAAATGTTACAGAGTTGCTGAAGGTACTAGGAATCAACACCTATGTGGAGCCATTCTCTGACCTTACAGCAAACCTTAGAGAACTCCTGAAAAAAGATGCTAGCTACAATTGGGGTGTTAGCCACCAGAAGTCACTTCAAGAAATAAAGGGCCTAATATGCAAAGAAATGCTGCTCCAATATTATGACCCGTCTAATAAGTCCATAATACAAGTTGACGCATTGTCTAGAGGCTTAGAAGCAGCCTTAATTCAAGAAGGCAAACCCATAACATTTGCCTCAAAATCCTTAACCAAAACAGAGCAGTGCTATGCAAACATCAAGTGGGAACTCTTAGCAGTCATTTTTAGCTGTGAACAATTTCGTATGTACATTTACGGGCATTCATTTGAGGTCGAAAGCAACTACAACCCCTGGAAATGATCTGCCTCAAGAACCTGACAGCAGCACCTCCCCGACTTCAACAAATGCTATTATGGCTCCAAGAATATGACATGGTCATCAAATATCAACCAGGCAAAGAGATGCTGCTGGAAATGGCCTTATAGACTTCTAAATAGGAAAAATGGAGAAGTCATTGATTTAGACCTCAAAGTAGATTTTGTGCAATTCTCAATTGAGAAATTAGCACAGATCTGTCAAGTGACGAATGCCGACCCAATATTGTTTGATTTGAGAGACCAGATTCTACAAGGCTAGACAGAAACTCTTAGAGAACTGCACGAAAATATAAGTTGTACTGGTCTTATCGAGACGAGCACTCTATCAAGAATGGCATACTGCTGAAAGGTGACAGGATATTGATCCCTGAATCAATGCAACCTGAAATAATGGAGAAAATACATTATGGCCACCAAAGGAGTGACAAATGCAAGCTAAGAGTGAAAAGTGGCGTCTTCTGGAGTGACATAAATAGTGACATTGACAAGTCATGTTAAGAGGACCAGAAGTCCCAAGGTGCCAAGACCCTGATGCCACATGAAATCCCAGTGTGACCATGGCAAAAGGTGATAAATTTATGAGGCAAAATCTTTCAAGGATTTCAAGACCATATATCCTGAGAATGTTTCTGGTCTTTTCTCCTCTTTGCTTTTGGAATTTGGTGCAGTCTCTTGGTAGGTTTATTTGGAGCCATAAAAGTATGATTATGTTTTTCTCATTCTTGATCCCTACACACCTCGGAGTCGATTCTAACATTATGTCTCTGTGAGGTCTAGCAATAAACACTTGTTCTTCCTTAAGTTCCATCACCCAAATATGGAAAGAAAGTCAGGGATATACAAAATTGTTGAAACAATGCTCTTCCATAATGACTACCACCTTCTAATACTTATATGAGATGCTAATAGTGTGGAATGGTTTTTGTTTATTTGGTGGGATTGTTTGGAAATGGTCCTGAATAATAATATAATTTAAATATTAGGGCTTGACAAGACTAGCTGTTTGATCAATCTTTCCTCTTTGATTGCCCATCTTGTCCCCACAAAAAACAAAACAAAGTGGAGTGTTGTTTTTGTTGTTTTTTCTCTGGGTAGAAAGTCACTCAGCCATCAAGACATCAGGGGTTGCTACCCCGACCAACATTGTGGGGATTTTACCCCTCTGCAGGGGTGCAGTCAGCATATTCTGAAGCCCCAGCTGACAAGGTGGGTAAAATAGTGATATAAATTTGTAGAAATAAAATATTTCATCAAAAACTGTCAGAAACTTTTGTCTCAACATAATTTTAGCAATATTTAACTAATATTGCACGTTTTTACAAATTTTGTGCAAAGATGTTTCCATTTGTAAAAACAAAATAAGTGAAATTCTTTCAATGCAAGAGAGAAATCATTGAAAAATTAACTTTTGCTTAACAGGATTTATTGCTAAACAATGTGAATTTGTCTGTACATTTGTATTTTTTATAAAGTAAAAATAAAGTTTAGCAAGTTTTTTTACTTGTTCCAATTTTAATTGTGACATAAAAATTTTTTATAAAAATTTATTAAAATTGTTTGAAGTCAAACAATATGTAACATTTTCATTAAATCAGTTTAAATATTTTTAAAACCATTTACACAAACATTGATAATTGATAGATATTGTCATGTCCATAAAGAAATACATAAATAGCAAATGAATTATATTGTCACTGTGACGTGTCTATAAAAACTTATATAATTAAATGTGTATTATAGTGTAATTAAATAAAATTAAATGTGTATTATAGTGTAATTAAATAATTAAATGTGTATTATAGTGTAAAAATAATTATAATAAAATAATTATAACAATTATAATTATCATTAATTCACAAATTCTAAACGAATGAGAATTGATTTCCACTTTTCTCTTCTAAACACACAAACACATGACATTCTCACTATCTGACAAGCAGTTCATATGGAGAGGCCGCTTTTCCTTTTCAGGTCATAATAGCAAAATTTATCTTTTAACAGTCAACAAAAATGTAAGGTAAGAAAACCCTAGACACATGTATTTTTCCAAACTAAATTCTCTGGACACCCATTACATACATCTATGAAAAACATATTAGAAAGACATAAACTTTACTTATTCTTTATCTTATCATTGTCAGATTCTGATACATGTTTGATCTACATTTTATCGAAAACTCACATAACAACCAAGGTAATAAATAATAGTTGTTTTGCTGTTTCTCATTTTGCTGTTTCTCATTTTTATGAGTATTTATGTATATATATAAGTGTCAGGGAGTTTATAATTATTTACTCAGAGTTATAACTGGGCAAAAATATTATTTGAAGTTTTTTGTTTAAATATTACATCCAGTCCTGACTCATCCTGTTATCTTCTATCCTTTGTAAAGTTAGAGCATAACAAGAGGAGTGAGATCAGGCCCAAGATGGCGTACTGTTGTCATATTTGGGTGGGAGCTGCCCAGACATCACTCTCCAGCCTTGATAGAGGGAAAAAATGTATCTGAGCCCTTGTGGGTGACAAATTATTCTCCACACTTGAGCCTTTCTCCCACAGACGAGGTGTGGCAAACAACTTCCTGCTCTGTTGCTACTTTCACAGAAAGTGCTCAGATGAACTGCATTCCCTGGTCCCGCCAATTCAAACCTTCATGGCAAAGACATGCCATGTCACTTACATGGTAGCAAACTACCCACATTCCCTCTAAATTCCATCAGTGAGAAGTAAGTTCTACTCTAACAGCTTCTTCCTGCAAATGACTGCTCTGTGGAACCAACTCCCAAGAAGATGTTTCCCCAATTACTACAATTTTAACCTTTTCAAAGTTAGAGTTAACAGCTATCTTTCACTCCTATCTGTATATATTGTCTCCTAATGCAACCTTCTAACTCAAGTGGCCCCTGGACCTTGTAAAGGTTGAACTTTACTGTTGAAAAAAAAAGAAGCAATCCGGACTCTCAAAAAAATTTTTCTTTTATTATTTGTGAATTGCTGTGTCTTCTTGAGAAAAAAATGGAATGGTTTCTTCAAAATCAAGCAAGTACAAAAATTTAAAACTATAGGAAGTATTTTAACAGAGGGTGAAAAATGCAACACTGAAATCCAAACATGCATTGGAATAGTAAAAGTTGCCTTCCAGAAGCTAAGCAAAGTTGAAACTGGAAAATTTTATTAGAAAAATAGAAAATTGCTGGACTCTTATGTAATATCAGCCCTCCCTATACAGCAGTGAATGCTGGGTAACTTCCTCATCATTTGTAATTCAGAATTTTCTTTCTCTTGGTTGTCATCATCTTGGTTGTCATACAAGGCTTAGACAGCCCAGTCTATTCTGTTATTTAACCCAGCTAGAGGAGAAGAGATGGTGTTTATGCCTTTTCTCAGAGCAATCGTGAGAGAGAATGCAGATTAGGCTGGAAAAACACTGATTCCACTTTTTGTGCCAGTATCCATTATGCTATATACACATTGAGTAAACACACAGTAAACATTTAAAAAACAGCATTTTTTAAAGTAAAAAATAATAAAAACTTACTTCAATAACAAATTTATCAACCCCATTTCTTTTAAATCTTTGCTTCCTTTCTTTCTTATTAGCACAAAGAAATTTCTGTTGTGTTGATGAAGTTTTACCATAAAGCACAATGAAGACATCTGCATCTGTAGAGGCACCAGATACATCACCTGTGTATGTAGTGATCTCGTATGGTATACCTAAATACAATAGAACTGAGTGTAATATGTATTGTGTAAAATTCAGAAATATTTGTTGCTCTCTATGGAAAATGGAGCTATGGACAGCAATAATAATGAAATTGTTTCACTAGTTATTTAATTAGATATCAAAAAACATTGAAATATGCAGCATTTATGCTCTGAATGATATCAGAAAGAGCAATACAAAGGCAAAAGGATATATACCTATGTATTATAGATTATGCAAAACATTTGAAAAAGTAAAACACAAAGATCTATTTGAACTGCTAGGTAAGCTTGATATATTTTGGAAAATTTTAGAATAATCCAGAACATATACTGGGTGCAAACTGCTAGCATATTGATAGAAAATGAACTTAGTAAATACACAAAAATAAAAAGGGGTGTAAGACAGGGATACTTACTGGACTTATTCAACATTTATCCTGAGATGATCCTGAGAGAATTAGAAATCTTACCAGGATTCATTATTGGTGCCCACAATCTTAACAACATAAGATACACAGATAAAACAGTGTTGATAGACACAGAAAGGAAACTACAGAAACTCCTACAAAAACAAGGAAAGGAAAGAGAGAATAAAAGACTAAGAATCCATAAGAAGAAAGAATGTTCGGTTGTTGGCAAAAGGAACATCCCAAGATGTGAATTACTAACTGGAGATAACAAAATCAAGCAAGTACAAAAATTTAAAACTATAGGAAGTATTTTAACAGAGGGTGAAAAATGCAACACTGAAATCCAAACATGCATTGGAATAGTAAAAGTTGCCTTCCAGAAGCTAAGCAAAGTTGAAACTGGAAAATTTTATTAGAAAAAAAGAAAAAAGTGCTGAACTATTATGTAATATCAGCCCTCCTATACAGCAGTGAATGCTGGATAATCTTCTCACAGATAAAGATAAGATTTGAAGCAATAGAAATGTGGTTCTACAGAAGGATGCTCAGAATCTCATGAACTGAACATGTAAGTAACAAGAAATTTTTAGTGTAAATGGAATAAAAAACAACGCTTCTACGTAGAATTAGAAAGAGACAATTCAAATGACTAGGGCACATAATGAAGAAAGAGGGTTTGAAGAATTGACACTCACAAGATAGATTGATGGCAAGAAAGACAGAACAAATAACCTACTCCAGGTTCTACTGGACCATGAACTCAATAAGACCATCGATACAGTTCATGATGGAGAAAGAGAGTAACAACACACTTCCATTCCTGGATGTTTTAATATCTCAAACAGAGCATGGGTTCAAGACATCTGTATACCGCTAACCAACATTCACTGAACAATACCTCAATTTCAAATCCCACCATCCATACAGCGTAAAGAAAGGGATTGTCCGCTGCTTACAACACCGAGCAAAAGTCATAAGTGGTGACTCAGAGACATTAGATAAAGAATTGGTCAGTATAAGCAGTACCCTACAATGTAACAACTACCCTGGGTACATGGCAGCAGCCCCAATAAACTGGGATAGGCGGGTACAAGAGGAGGACAATAACAATCTGCCTGCCTTATGTCAAGGGGTTATTGGAGAAAATACAAAGGATCTGTGGTCCATATAACATCAGGATAACCTTCAAAAGCTGGACAACACTTCACAGATACCTCTCACAAGTAAGACCTCCCCCTCCCCATAGAGGAGAACATGACTAGAGACTGTGTGTACATTATCCCATGCACCTGTGGAAAGAAATATAAAGGGGAAAAATGTCACACCCTTAAGTTAAGGCTTCAAGAACATCAAAAAGCTGTAACACCAGGGGAAGTGGAAAAATCAGGCGTGGCTGACCACATATGGAGAGAAAAGGGAGATCACTGCTCTCTGTGGGATCAGGTTGAAATCATAGACTAAGAACATCATTGGAAAATTCGTAAACTTTAGGAATCAGTGCACATATCTCCTGAACCGAGCAAGCATAGAAATGAATACAATATGGGAACCAGTAATAAGGAGTGCCAGAGAAAAGCAATAATAACAATAAAAATTGCAATATGAACTCTAGTAAAAACATGGATGATAACAGCAAAAATTGTAATATGAGCACTGGTAAAAAAATGATGGCTGAAGACATTAAGTTTATAAGTCTCATATATAAATTCATAGACAGATGTTCTCAAGGACACATGGCACAGTGGATAAAGGCATTAGTTAGATCCAGTGACAGTATGAGTTCAATACGTGGTTAAGGCAGTGGAGAACTTGGAGAGGTGAATTAACAGGCGATAACTGATAACTGACATCCATTAGACATGGCACATGGAATTAGAACAGTCTACCCCAGCGAGTGAAATAAAGGGTTTAGTTCGATGTTCCAACCACTTGAAGAAGGCAGCAGCATACATCAGCCGAAATGTTGTGATAAATATGGCAACAAAGATGAGGACAACAGTCCGAACAATGTAAATAGTGTACATAATACCACATCTCAGAAATATAGACAGATACAATAAAATTTGTATTTTATGTGAACACTACCTTATGAAAATTGAGATGTTGTAGTGTGGGTGGGGCCGTATCATATTAGGGAGTATATCATAGATTTAGGGGAGGATCCCACGAGACCCTTGCACCAGCCCTCAACTGAAGTATGCTTAAGTTGAACAAAAGGCACTGTGAAAGTTTCCAAGATTTTATCATTGAACATCTTCTACTTGGGCAGAACACAAACCACTCCTTGAGACTCAAACTTTAGATACTCTGCCTCCAAAGATACAACATTTCAGCATGAGATTAATGAGGTATTCATACACTATATCTCATGTTGAAGGAAAAAAAAATTAATCACAGCAGATACTCTGTTAAGAGCACTGGTAAAGGGATGTACACAAGGTGTAGACAGGGAGATCATAGAGGACACCAACATGTGAACCATATAATGGAAAATCTTCTAGTGAAGGTCCAATACCTGGATAACTTACATGAATACCTGAAAACAGGTAATGTGTGCTCTACATTTATGCAGATGGATCAAAATGGATGGCCTGAATTTAACACATGCTCAAGTGTATCATGATTATACTGGGTAGAACATGCCTATTTAAACGTACATGATGGGCTCTTACTTAAGGGTACATTCATTCCCTCAGTATTAAGGAATGGTGTACTTAAAAAACTGCATGAAGGTCACCAGAATGCTGAGAACTGTGCACATCAGATTTTGTCAGATTTAGTGCTGAAATGCATGACATGCTTAAAAGAGTGTACTAACCATGCAAACAGAACTTCCAGACAGAGCCTAGCAGAGATTGGTTGTAGATATTTTTACTCTAAAAGGTAAAATGGATCGGTTAGTAGTAGACTACTATTCAAGGTTCATAGAGATAAGGAAATCTTACACTATCAAAGTCAGCAAATGTGATAGTTCGTCTAAAATTGATGTTTGCAAGACATGAACTGCAAACCACAATTTGTAATAGGTAGCACATTTTCAATGTTACCACAAAGTATAGATTTCAGCATGTGATGAGAAGTTCGAGATATCTGCAGAGCAATCAGAGGCTGAACAGGCAGTTCAGACAATAAAGAACTTTCTGATAAAAGCAATTTACACATACCTTGTACTGCTAGCATATAGATCAACACTGCTCTAGAACATTGCTAATGGAATGCAGACTGTGGACCATGGTGCTAACACATCCCTCACAGTTAGATCCAGTACTGCCAGACAAGTACTTAAAGCAAAGGGAAAAGAGAGATGCGATGCAGACCTAATTCACTACAACAAGCAACAGAGCATCTGATTTAAGCAGCATCTTACCAGAGAGATGTTTGTTGGTGATTGATGCTAAAGTCACAAGGACTGTGGTAAATAAACTGTAGCATCACAGTCTTACACAGTCAAAATACCAAATGTGACAGTACATCAGAATAGACACCACTTGATTCTAGTGAGCTGTCCAGAGGGTAACAGTGACACTACAAATACAAAAGTGTTTGTACAGACATATATAACAGATACATCACTAAGGTACTGGGGAAGTGAGTCCAGAGCACATTATCAGGACATGATTTGAGAGACTGGTAATTAAACCAACAAAATTGGACTTGTAGTTTTTTGCCCTGGTGTTACCATGACCCCAATGGATAAAGGGAAACAACTCTTCCCTATAACAAGGAGGAGTTAAGGTTATTGTTGGTGAAATTAAGGCTCATGGGTTTACCGCCAAAAAATCCTTTTGTAAAAACGCTTGATTCCATTGGTGAAGTTGAATTAAAAAGAACAAAAACTTGTAACAGATATATTTCAGAAAGCTTTTGCAAATCTTGATCACTCTTGAGGAATAAATGAAACAGTGACTAAGCTACATTGTATACAAAATAAATTCAAATTACCCATGTCTTGCAAACTCAGTTCAATTGAATATTTTTTCCATTAATTTGAATTTATAACATATACAATGTAGTTTAGTCATTGTTTCATTTATTTCTCAAGAGTGATCAAGGATCATAAAAGCTTTCTGAAATATATCTGTTTTTAACAATAAATTATCTGTTGAAAAAATCCTTTTGACTAAACATATTTTTATGTTGTTATTTGTAGAAGTATTTTAAGAATTAACAACAATAATGCTATTTCTGTTTTTTAAAATCTTCACAACTCAATAATCATTGTAATTATTTTCAATAAATTAAAGAAATCTGAATGACTAGCAGAGTGGAAATTTGTTTTAATAATTAGAAAATTAATAGAATGCATATTCTAACATTAACGTACTTACATGGAATATATTTTTCAGTGGCCATCTCTTGTGGGTACAATTCCTTTTCCAACTTGCCATCATCTTTATCAAGTGCCAGCCAACGCCCACAGGGGAAAGTCCATGTCTTCCCGAGTGATGGGCAGTCTATGATTACTTTCTCAAGGAACCAGGCGCCACCATAACTAGCATTATCATGTCCAATTCTGACAAAGATTTCAATTTTATGTTGTCATTTTTCATCTAAGAAACTGTACAAATTATTCAAAGTAATTTTTATTGAAAGACAAAAATCTATTTGGGAGTTTGAATTTCTTCTTCTTCTTCTTCTTCTTCTTCTTCTTCTTCTTCTTCTTCTTCTTCATCGTCATCATCATCATCATCAGAAGAAGAAGAAGAAGAAGTAGAAGAAGAAGAAAAAATTTTAGATTGGAGAATATGTTGATCAGAATATTGTAATGATTGATAAAGAGAAAATAGAACATGACTGTTGTAAAAAGGCAAAATATGACTAAAAACAGTTGTGGTGATAGACAATCCACCAACCAATATATGAGAAATAATGTTATCAGGAATAACTAGGAATACCTAACAGACATCAAAGATGTTTTAACAGATGTCAAAAACATGTAAATCAGAAATGTAAAACTGTGTAAATGGTAAAAGAAACACTTTAAATACAAAATTTGGAGAACAGACATTAAAACTGTTTGTGTACATAATTTGTTCTGACAACATTTATTATAATCCACTAAAATAACAGTTTTACAATTCAGAATTAGTAGTAGCATTATTTTTAATGGTGGTTTTGGGATGTAAAACCTGAACACATGTTGATTTTGAGATAAGAAAAAGATTTGCTTGTCAGTTAACAATTTGTAAACTTATAATTGCAATTGAAGAGATGACTGCTTGCATCAGACATGGCCTTTTTGATGATTATTAATTAGACAATTTCACATGTGTGTCATTAAGCATCAGACCTTCAATCATCATTAAGACACAAGTTTTCCACTTGGATTATTTGTATTTTGTAACTTCATATCTTATGGAACTTCTTATGGAAATTGACATTCATAGATTTTAAAAGCATTTTCAAGTATTCACTTTATTACAATAGTTTGTCTTCTTTCATTTTTTCTCTTAGTTTCTGTAGGTACTTGTCCTACTTTTGTTTTATTTTCATAAAGATATTTTTACTTTATAAGAAAACAAAATCATATATGTGAATGAGTCAGTGAAATCAGGAATGAATGGGGGGGAATACAAATCTGAAGATGAAAGAAAGTAACTGTAAACAAGTCTTGAGGCTCCCACAATTAATTGTAGTGAATCTGTTCCTCAAAAAATGATTAAAAAGTTTTGCATAATCATCATAAAAGATAATAAATATAATAGAACAAATAAATTCACAAAGTTACAAGTGAAAATTACAGAAAAGGAATAAAAAGGAATAGAAAATGAATACAAAACTGATATAACAAATAAAAGATTAAAAATTTTTTATATCATTTATACTCCTCACAAGAACAGCAGTCCAAATGTAAATAATGATAATGCCTCATCCCAGAAATTCAGACAGGAGGCAATCAGGTAATAATAACAACAAAGATGAGGACATCAGTCCCAATGTAAATAGTGATAACTTGTTATACTCGAAATTCAGACAAGAGGTGATTGGGCAATATTAACAACAAAGATGAGGATAATTCCTCATTCCTGAAATTCAGACAGAGATGAAAAATTGTTCTTCTATGAAACCATTATGCTTTTCATAACCTTAATAATATGAGAATTTTACAAGTCAATTGAAAAAAATAGAATGTAAAATGCATAACAAATTTAAGTGTAGTGAATGTGTCAATTAGAAAAAGAAGAAAATAATGATATTAAAGAATTGAATAAAATTTATTTCCTCAAATGTTGTAGTTCTTAAAAAGAACTCTAATAAGTTATATTATATCTCATTTTAAATGGGAAAAAATTGAGACTTTAAAGATGTCAAGTTGTTTATTAAGCATTTTCATATACTCCTGAATGATTAGGATTAATTAAAAATGACTTATATTTAATTACTTTATCTTTTTCAGTTCTCCAATGTTAACAGCTTCAAGAACAAATTCATCAGTATTTCCTCTCTCAAATTTATTTTTACTTTGAAGTGATGATTTCAGAAACACTTGTCCTGTAAAAATCAAAGAAATATCAATAGAAGTTGTTAAGAAAATCATCTCTTTGTTTTTATGTAAGCATATCATAAAGAAAGAAGACATTTTGCAAATTTTTATAGAATTTCTTATTGAGAAGTTCACATTTTAATTGAATATTTCTATTTGTTATTGAGAAGTTTGAGAAGAAAGAACAATTGCATTTAAATGATAAAATTAGTTTTAAGTCATTTTTTCCTCTGAAAAATTACATATTATTTCATTAGTTCAGCTTAAATTAAGTGAAGATAAATATTCTGTTGAATATCTGATATTTCATTCCACATTAATAGCATTAAAAGAAAGACAACAGTGGAAAGCATCCGTTTTGTACATCATTAAGCTTGAGTGACCAGTTATAGTAAAACATTTTAAAGGAAAATTATGATGTATCAAAATTTTCTTGTTTCTCTTCAAGCCTGTACATGTTTGTCAAGAATTGAAAAATATCTTCAATTCTTTTACAACATATTTTATATATACATAAATTGCTAAAAATATACTTTACATGATTAACTGAAAAGATTTGTAAGAGTTTTATTACTAAGTCTTTGAGGTTCAAATTATGGCTGAGACAGTTTGTATTCACTTTGCACTAAAAAGGCATGAATCCACCTTTTCTTTTCTCTAGTCATCAGTAAAATAGCTAGGCTCTCTAGCATTAGTAAGGTAACCAGTCTAGAAGGACTGAATTCAAAAACCCCGAAGTATTCAATAGGAAACCAATTCATTATATTTCCCAAGAAGGGTCATGGCATAGTTTACAGATATTAAAGAAATAGAAGCTGTGAAGAGCCATGATTGTCTTGAAGAGACAATGGCATTTAAGGAGAGGGTAAATAAGAAAATTAATTCTTCTTTTTTGAATTCTCAAAATAATAATTTCAAAATAAAATACCTGTATTATCAATATCTCCATAAAGAATAATGAAAACATTAGCATCTGTTCCAGCACCCCAAACATTTCCTGTTATCACTTTGATATAAAATGTTGTTACAGCTGCTGTAAGAATAAAAACAAAAATAACAAAATATTATAAAGAACAATAAAAATAAACATTAATTGGCTTACAATGAATGCATGTTAAGATGTTGTTTTTATAAAGGAGAAATGGAAAGAATCTACTCCCAGTGTTATCAATTATAAAATACGAACTTAAGTTTGTAATTTAAGAAACATTTAGATACAATAGGTAACAATTATTCATATTACCATCTGTGAAAGTAATACTTTTTATATTTTTATACAGTATTCTCTAACTGTTCTTCTACCAAAGAAGATGTACAATACATAAAATTCTGACCATCACTTCTTAAATATTCTTATTGTATGTCTTCTAATTTTTTCCCATCTCTGTTTTCAACAATTTAAAATTATGAGCCAAAATAAGCAGGACTGATGAATTAGATTTGTTTCAAAACATTTCTAAAGTTTCATTCTTAATAAAATTTGTCTGGAATAATCTTTTTTAACTGAAAACCTATTTCTACTTTTTATGTTTCCTTGCTTTAAATTTTGATGACTTGTTAACATTTTGAAAATTAATTCTTGTCATAATTGCTGATGAGATATTGGAAATATTTCAAGGCAATATTTTCACTGAAATTTAAAACACCAAATGTAAAATAATAATAGATAATGAGAAGTGGTTAAAACTATCAATATGAATTGTTATAATATAGAACTACCTGGTGTCTGTATTAAAAGAAGAGAGAAAATTACTGTGATGATACATATTGTTTTATTCTGAGTAGTTTTGACATTAACAATATTATCATCAGGGTGTGTTTTTTATGATTAAAATGTAGTGTTCATTATTTCCAAAGACAAAATGTATATCTGCATATAAGTTATAAATTTTATGTGTAGAGTAAGGACTGCTAATTTTTGTGCCATGCAGTGTATGTTTACACTCTAGGGGAGGTAACTAATTATGATGTGTGAATAGTTCTTTTTTTAAAAAGATGAGAATAGTATGAGAAACTATTAATATAGACTTTGATATTATAGTCTATCTATTGTAAACAATTTAGAACATTTTCATAATTAATTTTGTTAAGGTTTGGTTTCAATTTTTTAATAAAGATAGCTTCAAGGATTTTTAGTTTGTGTTTATTATTTTCCTGAAAAAGTATGGATATATTTTCGACAAGAATTTTTCTAAATTGCGAATGTAGGCAAGCATGCTGTTGTAAATGTTTAGAGATATTAGACATGTTATTCAAATTAAAACACAAACGACAAGACAATGTGGTCGTAGTATGGCCAACATAAATATTATTTTTTCTGTTGTCCCAGAGGACACTTAAATTTATATACAATGTTGGTTTTCTGCAACAGGTTGGTTGGTGGGGAAGAGTTGTCCGGTAGATGTAAGGCCGAAGGCCAGGCGCGTGTAAATGTAAATGCTGTTTTGTATTGGTCTCGCTTGTCGATCTCAATTTGCCAGTAGCCGCTGCGTAGATCGAGGGTAGTGAAATATCTATTGCCTTTGCCGATTTTGTTGAACAAGTGGTCGATCCTTGGCATTGGGTAAGGGTCAAGATCGACTAAGACCTTGTTGAGAGTTCTTTTAAAGTTAGCGACAACGCGAATCGATCCGTTTTTCTTGCGTACGGCAAATACAGGGCTATTGAAGCCTTTGGGGTCGCTGCAGTTTTCAATGGTACCTTCATCGGCCATGCGCTTAATTTCGGTATCAACGTCTGCTTCCAAAGCCTGGGCGATCGGGTGTTGTTTCTGGCTGCGAGACTGGCCGTTAGTTGGTATGCGGATGGGTCGGATGAATGTGCCTTTGCTGCTTCTTTCGGTGCCGATAACATCAGCGTAGCGAATGAGTAAGTTTGCAGTGGCCTCTAGTTCGTCTCAGTTCGGGTGGTTTGGTAGCGATAGCCCCGTGTTATGCTTTAGCCAGATTAGCGTTTGATCCAGTGTCTGGATGTTGGGCTGTAGTTCCATAGTAGGCTGGTTTTGGATGATGTCAGCTTGGGCGCCATATGCTGGATCGTTGGTTGACGATGACGGTGATATGATTGCGGCTGTGTGTGTTGTGTATCCTGAGGAAAGTGTGCGTCTGAATTCTATAGTCGCATTTTGGTTGTCGATTAGAAAGGAATCGAGCGTGTTGTGACATAGGATATTTTGGCCGATCAGGATTGGTGTGGTTTGGGTAGTTACCAGCACGTTAACCTTTTTGAATGTGGGTGAGTTTCGACTGCCGATGGTGATGTCGCAAGTCAGTTCGCCAAGGGCGGTGGTGCTGCTGTGGATTCCTTTTACTATGACGTCGGAGCGGGTCATGCGTTTCTTGGCTTCTCTGGGTAACTGAGATATTGGTAAGATGCAGGTGGAGCATCCAGAGTCTAGCATTGCGACGCCAGAGAAGGTGAGGTCCCTGAAGTTGAAGGTGGATTGGACGAGCGGTGAACTTGTTGGTGTGATGGCTGAGGTAGGGGCACGGCGAACGAGGCATCACATCTCGTCCTGCCCGAAGCGAAAATCCTGTTCCGCATCATTTATGGCTTGTATATTATCATTCGTTGCGGCGATATGGGCCTGTGCCCGAGGGCGAGGTGGGTGGCGATATAGGCAGTTGCGTCCATGGAGGCAGGGGCGACCTCTGAGGTAGTTCTTGCACACGCTGATTCGAAGTGTGTGCTGATGGTTTCTGCGTGTCGGATGGTGGCCGTGTTTGGGAGGGTTGGTGAGGCCCGTCTGCTGTGTGTTTGGTTGCCTGCTGGGTCGGAGTGGCGCGTTTCGTTGGTTTGATCGCTGTGGTTTCTGTGTGAAATACACAGTGTCGTGCGAAGTCGTGTCGTTGAATTTTATACCGCGATCAATGTATCTTTGAGCTTCGGAGGCTATGCCAATGGTTGAATCGTGGTTGTCCATTGTCTTGACAAGATGTGGGTAAAGATTTGAGTTCCAAATTTTCACCTTTTCGCTCATTAGCATGGCGCCGATGATGGAAATAAGTCCATCGACTGTTAAGTCTGTATTTTTGTCTTTTTTTGTATTTGTTTTTTTTATGTGGACGGCTGCCTCTCTAAGGGTGTTTTCGAGTCGTCCCGCGAAGTCTGTTAATTTTTCGCCGTCTCGCCGTTCCAGATCCCAGGCTTGACTGAGGTGTTGGAAGTTAGTCATCTGGCTTCCGTGGCCTCCTAATAAGTATTCCTTCAGTTGTTCGAAGGTGGATATGTCTTTTTCTGCGTCAACCATCTGCTGAAAGATACTTTGGTCCAGTAAATCTTTAACAGACTTGACGAATTCGCATTCCAGGCTGGGATAGGTGCTGAGTTTTGGCGTGACGTGGATTGTGTATGCTTTGTTTAGGGCCGTGATGAATCGGTTCACGTCGTGTCCAGAGTGAAAAGTTCTCTCTAGCTTCAATATGTCGCGTATAGTTTGTTGGCGCATCATTAAGCTGTAATCGCCTTTTGTTTGAGCGGTGGGAGGTGTTAAAGTTGTTGATTTCAGGGCAGTCAGCATATCGTTTATGTCGGCTTAAATTTCTCGTATCGTGTCTTCGGAAGGCTGTATTGGTCCCGTTTTCAAGTTGAATAGCAGTGTTTTCTGTTCCTTGATGATAGTAAATAGTTCGGCTCGGGTGAAGCCCGTGTAGTCGTCCATATTTCTCTTGCTGTACGCTTCTGACACCAGTGTTATAGACAAGCGTATGATTGCAAGAAAGAAATACGACAACAGTAGAAATAGATTTACGTGATTTATTTCAATAGGAACGTGTGGTTTTGGGACAGCTACCTTGTGGTATAGTTTATAGGCCGGCTGAAGATCTGGGTTGATCTCTCATAGTAGTTCTCGCTGGTTGGCGTGGTGCTACTGCTGCTGGCTGCTGCTGACCGCTCAACTTGACCGTGACAGGTCTCTTCCCTGGCCTCCTGTTGACTGCCCGTTGTACTTCCGTGTGACCCCTTTTATGGCGTTTTTTATGGCTTAACAGGCTCGAAAAATGACGCGAGTATAATTAGGAGGGAAGCATTTTTATTGGTCGAAAAATAGAAACACTTTAAAATATTATTTTATTTTTCGACCGGAACTCGTGCGTCGGGAACATGCGTAAACGAAGATAATGGTCATTTTGTGACGGGGCCTTATCCCATTCACATCCGACTCTCGTTCTCGAGTATGTTAGTTTATTTGCCTGTAAATCAGCCGAGATATGTCTTATTTTATTTTATAACGTTGTCTTTGGAGTTGATGTATTTCATCCATATTCTTGACTAATATAAGCATATCATTGATGCATCTTAGGTAGATGGAGGGTTTTTTAAAATTGTTAAATGTATCATTTTCGAGATTAGACATGTAGAAATTGCTAAACCCTTGGAGATGCCATCCCATTGTATATTATTTTTATGATCAAAGAATGGGACTTTTGTAGTACAAGTTAGCAGTAGTTTTCATAAAATGCTAAGTCAAATTTTAAGTGAAGGTAGAGATGGATTATTGTATATGTTCCTTATAATTATGTCAAAAATTTATTCACCAACATCCCTGTTAGCAAAACGCTAACAGGGATGTTGGTGAATAAATTTTCGACGTCAAGTGAGGCTATGGTTTCATTATTAGGTTTTTCATTTTTTCGAATTTCTTTGAGAGTGGATTTTATGCTATATTTACTAGGATTGTATAGTGAGATGAGTTGGGTTATGATGTCTGTTAACTGATATACAGAAGTGGAAATTTGTGATATAATAGGACAGAGAGGATAGTCATGTTTGTGTTAACCAGGCCTATATCATCTACAATTTTATGAAGTTTCAAACTGTCAAATTATTAGCAGTGATGAGTTTATTAATATTTAATTGTATATATAGCTCAACCTTAATTTGCATATTTATAACTCATTCTTACTGTGCATGCCAATACTAGAAGCTTAAAAATCTTAAAACCCTGAGAATTTGTAAAATATAGAATCTGTAATTTATGACTATGAACAATATGCATTAATTTAATTTTTTTAGCACAAACTAAGTGAAAAAAATAGATAGTACTTTACTTATCTTTTATGAGATTTCAGAATTAAGAAAAGAATAAATATTTCCTGGTTGACATCAGTAATAAAACAGCAAATGTGATGAATATGGAATTTTTATTGGCACAAAAACTAATGTCTTAGATTTGACTTGAAAAAAAATGCAATGAAGAAATTGAGATGACAAGTCTGTAAGTTTTCCTTTTTAACTTTTTGATCTTTTTATTTGATGTTAGATCTATTTTATTTATAACAATTGATGTTACTATCAAATTAAAAAAAAATAATTAAATTATATATATTTTTTACTATTGTAAAGTTAAAGAGAAAATGTGTAAAACATAAAAACATAATTCAGGTACCAAATAAAATTTTTAATCAAACGTAGTCACATTTCATGGCCTTTTAACAGTTTCCCAAAAATGAAAGCATCATGAACATTGAAGGAAGCCAGTAATAACACTTATTGATCATTTATGATTTAAATGAAATTATAAATCAAGATATGAAGCAAACCTTTTGTTTCCAGTGCAGCTTCTTCTCTGATAGAACCTGATTTATCAAGATTTCTTTTATTAAGAGGTACAAGCTCTCTTGAGATCTGTCCATCATCATCTTTTGTCGATAACCATCTTTGACATGGAAATAAATAACTGTAAACAATAAAAACAAGAGCAAAGTATCATTAGAGAATTGTGAGGAAAGAAAATCACAACTTATTACAACTGAAATTATATGAAATGAAGATAATGTAGTAAATGAACACTTTATCTATTTAGGCTTACGACATAAAGGTAATTTCATACAATTAATACTGAAAACAAACCAGCAGAAATAAGTTCACCAAAACCTACATGAGATAATAACCTTGGGTTAGACATGTTTTCATGATTATCAATCAACCCAGAGTGTCCCTTACAATGTTAACAGGCTTTATTGATTTTCTATCATATTGTGCAAAGAGATGAAGATGTGGAACAATCTTGGAAAACTTTTTATAGAATTCTTCATTTTTCAAGCAGGCATTACAAGATTTTCCCTTTATATCTTTCAGAGAAGCTACATAATATTGTATAACTCTTCCCTTTATAAAAATAATGGAAGTTATATAATGTGTCATGGATATATACATATATATATATATATATATATATATATATATATGAGTAGATGGGGTTTCTATGGGTAGTCCCTTGGGTCCCTTTTTAGCTAACATTTTTGTTGGTTATCATGAGAGCCTTTTGTTTGAGAAGTATCAGAAACCGTATATCTATCAACGTTACGTTGACGATACTTTTTCTATGTTTAATAACATAGAGGAGGTAACTCTTTTTTGTGAATCCTTAAATGGTTTACATTCATCTTTGGTTTTCCCACTGGAGGAAGAAGTGAACAACTCTATTTCTTTTCTGGATGTTCTTGTGGAGAGGAATAATGGTATTTTTATTACCAGTGTTTTTCGTAAAGACACCTTTTCAGGTCTTTACACCAGTTGGCAGGGTTTAGGGTTAGTACTTTTGTACCTTGGCATTGAAAAATAAATTTGATTAAAACTTTAGTACATCGAGCTCTATTAATTTGTTCGTCATGTACACTCCAACAGGAGTTAAGTAAGATCCGTTGTATTCTTGTCAATAATGGTTTTCCAACTCGTATTGTGGAGCGTACAATTGAGCGAAAAATAGACAACTTTAATATGGCCCCTAAATTGGGTCCTGGTCTGTGTCCTGTTTATCTTAATTTACCTTCGCTTGGCAGAAAATGCAAACTTTTAGGTGACAGAGTTTCTACTATTGTCTCTGCCACTTTTTTTTCCAGCCAAACTATGTGTTATTTTTTACATTCGCTCGATTCTACCTTCCTTTTCTAAAGACTGTCTACCGTATCACAATAAAAGTTTGCTTATTTATAAATTTAAATGTCAGTGCGAGGCTGATGATACTTTTATGTTTAATAACATAGAGGAGGCAACTCTTTTTTGTGAATCCTTAAATGGTTTACATCCATCTTTAGTTAGAGTCGAGAATAAGCCAACATGTTCCTAGGTGTATTCGATTACATTCTTGTGATCATTCTCGTGTGTCGCAATCAGCGCACGAGTCTTCAATTGGACAACACCTATTAGAAAATGAGCCATGCTTGTCTTGTTTTTCGACTGACTCGTTTTCCATTTTGCATATAGGTAGATGAAAACATTGTAGACTCGTCTTTTTCCTACCTATTACCCCTAGTAACAGAACAGTCTATATCTTACGCCTACGTACGGAAAACTTCAACCAATAAAAACCAATGAGATTTGTTGATTCGCCTAGTAAGGCGAATCAACAAATCTCATTGGTTAACGACACAATAATCTGAAAGTTTCACGTGCAAAACGAAATTGCGCCAAAACTTAAGTGAGCCGACTTCGGACTTTCAGAACGTATAAAAGAAAACACCGACTGACCCAAGCAGTCAGAGACAAACACCCACAGAGAAGTTGCCAATATACTCCACGTCACTCGAAATCACGATTTTACCGCGCAAAAGTACATCAACACTGACTCACTTGCAATTTAAACTCAACCAACTCTGTGGACATCGAATCACAAACCTTGCTTATCCAAAGTGAATTATATTCACTACCTATTAAGTAAAAATCAACGTGCGAACGACCTTAAAAATATTACAGCCAAAGGTAGATCACTCCTTAAGAACTCCTACCAAAAAGACACTTAATATTGACAATTTTAATATCAACACAAATCTAAAAGGACTGTAAATGAACAAACGAATACATACTGGAACCTAAACATCATACACACTTTGCCATAATAACATATGCCAATTATCCTGCTTGTATATTGTTTTGAATTGTATATAAATGTTTTATTAGTTTCTAAATTGAATATGTCTTGTTAATCGTATATACATTTCGTTTATTTATTTGTTTGTGGCTGCAGAAAGTCACGCAACCTATACAAATTCCTTCTGATACTTTCAAGCATAATTAATAATTTCTGCACACCCCCAACAACATCATTTATTAATTTTGGAAGCTTTACGCTTAAAATTATTCCAGCCTGTACTATGCAAGCAGAAGGAGATTTTTTTTAAAGATCCTTGAATTTATTCAGAGATATGTGAGCTTTATTTTTTCCTTTTTATGCTCCACTGGATCAAATACTTTTTTTTATTTACGTATTTTAATCATAAATTTATTTGTTTTTTTCTCAATTTTACGTATTTCGTAATTTTAAACGTGTTCCAGTACTATCTATTAGCAATCCAAATGTTAAAAGTTGCCAACGATTGGTCCCTGATGATGCATTGGCCGAAAGGCAGCCTAGGTCCGGATATTTAAAAAAAAAGAAAATGAACATAAAATTATGTTTATTTAAATCAATATTCCTGTTCTGTGGTATCAGGTCTTTGTTTCAAATATATATATATATATATATATATATAAAAGTCATATAACATGTTCGGATATATTATATATATATATATATATATATATATATATCCAAACATGTTATATGACTGTTTATAACTGTTTTATTTATTGGAAGCTGAGAATTTATCATGTCACATACATGCTGAATGATGTTTAAATCTGGCTGATGGGGTACACATCAGTCAGATGAGTGTTCCTGGTGTCAGTTTCATGTCACCTGCATATAATGTGTGGGGGAGCATTGTGTCACCTTGCTGGAAAAAAAATCACCAATAGCAAACATTGGGGGGAGCATAAGGGAGTGTACATTGTTTGCAACAAGATTTGTGGATGTCACACTTATCATCACAAACTCCAGTGATTGTTACCACACATCCTTATGGTTTGTAGAACATCCTATTGATAGGTTTAATCTATAGCTTCATACACAAACTTTGTCCTCTACCTGAAAGAAGCATAAACATAAATTATCTGACCAGGAGACATGGCATTAGTCTTCCAAGGTCCAATGATGAGGCTCTCTGGCCCAGTGCAGTATCTAATGCCATGATATCAATAATTGTACTCTTGTTAATCAATGACAATGAAACCCATGGAATTCAGTGTATGATGTATAGTAAATTGACCAATAAATTGAACATCACTTGCAGGCAATGGATAATAAAAATACATGCAGCAAAATTTATCCCTTTTATTAAAAGGGCATAAGTCATTTTTCAATTGTTTCATTTTCTTTTCAGCAAAAAGGTGATTAATAAGATCAATAATATTTAGTGATATGAATAATCAGCATTGATTAATGACTTAAAGTGAAAGAATAAATTTTCACTTTAATTCATTGCAATAAAAAGCAACCAAAATTAAGATGAAAGAAAGTAAAAATTTAATAATAAATGATAATGTTTCATCTAATAAAAATTCAAGATAATATATCGGGAGGTGCAACAACCAAATTTCACAAAATAAGGCCTTATTTCATAGATTATTGAGAATTCTTTTTTCTGCCTTATTATAGACTATATATATGTATATATATATATATATATATATATGTGTGTGTGTGTGTGTGTGTGTGCGCGCAAGTATGCAGAAAAATAGGAAGGAACACGTCGGGTAAATAATCCGGAGTTCCTTAGTATTTTTGTTTTTATTTTTAAGAAGACAGTGCTCCATACAGAAGTAGAGCTTATATTATAATATCTATTTTATAATATTTTTTAAAAATATAATATATATATACACTGCGTGCCAAATTATTATCAAGATAACTTTTTTCTAATATTTCAAAAACTGCCCAATCAATGCACACAAAATTTTTACACAATGTTGGCAACATTGACCTGCGCAATCACTGAAATTTTCGTACTGATCTGCACAATGTAAACAAACTGGCGCCATATTTGTTATCAGCACGGTGATTTGTTTATAGACATTAGTTCTGGATTGATCTGTTTTAACTGAGATCTTGGGGATGAGCAAGCTGTCTGAAAGATGGGTCCCAAGAATACTGACACCAGAGCAGAAGTTGAAAAGGGTTGACATTTCCAGGACACTTCTGACTTCTGACTTGCTTTCAGGCTGACTTTGATATAAAAATCTGTCCAATTGTTCTTTTTATATTAACTTTTAACAAGAAATAGATTGTTGTATGTATTTATATGTTTTCATTTTCAAAACATGGTCAATATATTGTGTCCATGTTCATTATTAAGTTTCGTTTTTTTGTTTTTATTAATAAGGCTTCCATTATTATTATTTTTTTTTTGCATGTTGATGATACTATTATATTTGTGTTGTTAAGAAGTATGTTACAAATAGGGTCCAGTCTCCATGGATATTTAAATGAGACCTAATTGAGCTATGGTCAGAAAGGTGTAGTGTGAGTATTCGTGTCAAACTTATTGTATCAGGTCATCCCATAAGTTCTGTCCGAATTTTGAATAAAGAAAACAAGTGACCAAATGTTACATTTAATTACAGATTCAATCAACAATGTATTTTCCCTGATTATCTATGACTTCCTTCCATCTATTAACAAGCTTACTAATTCCATTACTGTAAAATTCTTTTGGCTTTGATTCGAAGAACTCACAAATGTCAGTTTTAACCTCTTCCTGTGTTACAAAAGCTGTTTCTTCCAAATGATTCTGTAAGCTACGAAACAAATGGTAGTCTGAAGGAGTAAGATTGGGAGAATAAGGTGGGTGAGGAATTTTCTCTCAACCAAGTTCTTCGATCTTTTGTGACGTGATTCTTGCTGTGTGGGGTCGCACATTGTCCTGATGAAACATCACCTCTTTTCGATTCACTAGAGCAGGTCTTTTTTTCCTCAAAGCTTGGTTCAAACACTCTAATTGATGACAGTATATTTGAGCATTAATTGTTGCATTAGGTGGTAAGAATTCAAAGTGGATTATTCCTTGGTGATCCCACCAGATTGAAAGAAGAACCTTTTGCCCATGAAGTTCCCTTCTCTGCTGTGGCTGGGATCCTTCCCCTTTACCAAGCCACTGTCTACGATGCTTAACATTTCGATAAAAGATCCATTTTTCGTCACCAGCCACAAGTCTATCCAAAAAAGGTGAAACAAGTTGACGAGAATGGAGAGCAGAGCAGATTTGAGACACCCATTTTCCAAGTTTAGAAACTTTTCCAAGTTGTTGAAGATGACGATGAACAGTTGTATGGTTTGAAACTGAGAACCACTGCGAATTCCTCAACTGATAAAGAAGGATTTTCTTCAAGGGCTGCTTCAAGAAGCTTTTCATCAAATTCAATTGGACGTCCGATTCGATCTTCATCTTCAAGGGTGAAATCTCTACCTCTGAATTTTGCAAACCATCTTCTGCAAGTTCTTTCATTCACACATTCCTCTCCATAAACTGAGTGAATGTTTCTAGCCGCTTCGGCTGCTGAGTTTCCTTTCTTGAACTCATAAAGCACTATGTGCCTCAAATGATTCTTGGGTACATGTTAGCAGGGTTTTAATCAAACAAAATTTAATTTTATTGTTCTCTGAAATAAAATTTGATCAGTTTAAATGCATTTAAACATAAAAATAATGTTCAGCTCCAATAGACATTATAAAATACTCTTTAAATTTCGTTCATTTTAACAAAAAGTTAAAATTCGGACAGAACTTATGGGATGACCTGATAGTATGGCCTATATAATTATTTATGAATTTTGATTGATCAGGAATACAATTCCTTAATGGACATTTAAATTCGTAAATAATATTTGTCCTATTTAATTTTGTTCTAAGAGGTGAATTATTATTTTTAACTATAAGGTTAGAGGTTTTAAATTTTTTGCAATAAATAATTAATCTATTTTTTTTTGCTGTTGTCAACTAGTGTTGTGCATTTTTTTTATGATATTCTTAATTCTAGTTTCGTCTTGTTTGTAATTTTCATTCATTTGATTTTATAAAAAATATTAATGTTATTGTTTATGTTTCTATTCTCGTCATTGCTATAAGCTACCTTAGACAGAAAAAGCCTAATATAATAGCATCATCTACATGCAAAAAAGGCTAAAAATAATGGAAGCCTTATTAATGAAAACAAAATAATATCAACTATAAAGATATAATATCTTGAAAATAAAAACATTATATAAATACATACATAATCTATTTCTTGTTAACAGTTAACATATTTCAACCTTGAAAATGGTTAAATGTATGGCCGAAAGCGCTCGGATAAAAAGAACACTTGGACGGTTTTTATATAATTTATCATTCAAAAAGAAAAAATTATAAGATCACATGAAAAATTGAAAAAAAAAAAATCAAAGCACCTTGTCTGTCATATTCAATGAAATGTGCATGTATATATATATATATATATATATATATATATATATATATATATATATATATATAATTACAGTAACAAAAAGTATAGAAAAGAAACTCTCCTTTCATGGTAAAGCAGTTGAATGAAAAAAGCCCAAAAGTGGCAAGCCAAATCAACTAGAAGCTGAAAATCAAAAGCACTCATTTATATAAAAATCTTAAATCACATATGATTATTATTTTATCAGAGAAGTAAGTATACTCCTTAAGACTCTTTTTATTGAAAAAGTGATAGAATTAAAAGCATGATTTATATATTTATGTACTATAATCTCTCAAAAAATGGATTCATTTTCCAGAAGATTTTACTGTAATGCCAAGAAAAAAGTGTCATGTCAGTGTAGGTTTTTACTTTGATTTTTTTTTGTTTTTTTCAACATTGAAAGTTGCAGTGCTCCAGTAAAATCAACTGATAAAGGTTGTCAAGGATGGTGGAAGTTTTATCAGGAACAACAGTGGATCAAATTATAATGTATTGAATAAATCCAAGAGATTTGATTGTCTTTTTACCTGTCTTTAGTTTTAGAATTGATAACCTCCACATGATTAAGGAACCATGCTGCACCTCCTCCTTTGTTGTCATGGTAGATCTTTAATTTCAACAGTTTACCTAGATCAACAGCTTTCAAAGTAAAGACATCTTCCTGTAATAAAGAAATAACACATGAAATCAGAAATGAAGCATGATACAACAAAATTTTTGAACATCATTAAAAAGAAATATTTATCCCAGTATTTTGGTCATTTTTTTGTTTTTTTACCTGATTTCTTTCAAATTTATTGAGATTATCAGATTTTGACAGTTGTCGATCAGCTGAATCTCCCAATTCCCCATAGATATTCACAAATACATTGGCATCTGTTCCTGCACCCATTACATCACCAGTTACGACTTTCACTGTGTATTCAATTTCTGGAAATAAAATAAAATTGAAGTCTTCAATTAATTATTAATCCTTGAATATTTTTTCATTTAGTTAATGACAAAAAAATTATTTGAAAGAAATTTAGAATATCTGAAAACATTTCAGTTGAAAAAAAAAATAGTTATAGATAATTAATATATGTTTATAAATTAAGAAAGTGTGGTTGATTTTGTTAAATGCTTATTTCTATCTTGTCCAATTAAAGAAAAGAATCAAATGGTTATGAGATTTTTGTTCAGTAACAACAATTCTGAAACTCTCCCCTTTAAAATGACTACACAAATGGAACCAAAAAAATCGTTTAACTACAAATACATGTGATGCCAATCTCGTATAGTACACAGAGATCAAGACTGAAATTCAGTACTCTGTTTTAACAAATATAATGCAGTCTTTAGGAAAATATATATATATATATATATATATATATATATATATATATATATATATATATATATTTTTTTTTCATTTTGAATTTGTAGGTCTGATGATTTGATCGTATTTACGATTCCAATGGAATAAATTATGACCATGGAATATTAGTGTTTAAGTTTTTTTATTATATCCTTACTCTGTCCTAGACATTGAGTTCTACCTGGATCCTTCCTCTTGAAATTTTTTTTTTTTTTCTGAAAATATACATGTATGGGAAATTTTTTATATATATTTTGCATATGTATGTATATTTTCCACTAATATTATCTATCTATATATATATATATATATATATATATATATATATATATATTATGTACAGTACTACAACTGCGTATGTATGTATGCCCAAATGCATGGATGTGTATCTGCGTTTAGCCTTGGATTGATTATATGTATGTGTTTGTGTGAACTAAAATGCATACACCTGCATGTATGTGTATGAGAGTGTCATCCCAAACAAACACAAAAGTAAATTCCCTCTCGCACCATGAAACATAGTTAAACAAACATAAATAGATCCAATTTAAAAAAATAAACCAGTTGTCTGATCATTGCAAAAGCATGAAACCCAGGGGAACAAATTCATATCCATACAACTGAAAAAGAAAGAACAGTAAGATATATAATCCGGTGTTCTTATTGATATTTTTATTTTTACAAAACAGTGCTCAATGTAAATTTACAGAGCATAAATTAACTGATTTAAAAATATGGTTCCTTCGTTACACAGGAATTACCATGTTTCAAAAACCAAAGTTAAAAACTTCAAATTTAATTATATAATTAAATTAAAAGCATTAGTTCTGTTTCATTTTCAAGCGAATTTTGGAATAACTTATTTTAAAATTTACTGAGTTTTAAACGCACATACAATTCATAATTTTTTGTTTCCAAGGATACAGAGAAATCCAATCATTTATACAGGGGCAGTAAAAGCGGTTAAATAGGGGTGCATTTTGCAACAAATTTTGACATCCGTTCAGCGCATGTCATCTGTTTTTTGTTTTTTTTTATCAACGACAACAAGTTTTTTGGCATTTTTTTCTGTTAAATTCGTACTTGTATACAAAGATTCTTTCTAAAAGGAGTGTTTGGGTGAGAACACGTTATATTGAACTACAATTTTAAAATATTATTTTTACTCTTAATTTCTAATAGACTATATTTCTTTTTAAAACAAATAAATGTAATTATTTAAAAATTATTATTACATATCAAATAAGTATGTATATTACGATTACCAGCTCCCATTTTTTTTTATCATAGTTTTATTTAGATTGATATGAGGTGACAGAGGTGGTTGGAGGATTATAGAAAAGTCCATTTCGGAAATGTAGGGATATAAGGTTGTTTTATTTAAAACCATCCTTAATAATTTTGATTTAGGTGCAAATGTGCTCAGTTAAGATAAAAAAAATTTGACCTTTTAAATAATTTTTAGACAGGAAAAGAAAAGAAAATAGTAAAGCAGGTGAGGGGGGGGGGATGATAAAGAGAAAAAAAAGGGTTAAGCAAGGTGGAGAGGGGAAGAAAGAAGAGTGAGTTTAACCATATGTATCTCACGGTGAAACTTGAAATGCACATAATTTGAAATGCACGTCAATATAAATTATAGTTAATACATAAGGTATTAAAGATTACCAGCAAAATAGGAATAAAATAAAATAAATTAATGTTAATAATATTAATCTTGATTAATAATACAATTGTAATGATTGTAGGATAATATGTTAAAGATTATTAAAAATATTTTTACAAATCTTAAAAAAAAAGAGTATAAAGATTAATAATATTATTAATAGCAACAATAATAAAGGTTAAGATAAGTTTAAATTTGAACTTTAACATTTAAAATTTAAAATTAAAATTAAATTTAATAAATGATAAATAAAGAATATATTAATATTAATTAAATATTTGATATTTAATATTAATTTAATATTAATAATCAGATTACTTACTACTACTACTAAAAATTAAATCATAATAATAAAAAGAATGATAATATTAGATAAAAAATAAAGAGTAAAATTTAAAAATAAAATATGAAAATAAAAAAATAATAATGTTGCTTGGTAAATTTGTTTAGTAACCTTATTTTGATGGGAAATTCAGCAAGGTAAATGAAAAACCTAAATATATATGTGCATATTCATACATATACCTATTCTTATATATATATTTACATACATATAATGATATCAAGTAAATTATACAATTATATAAAGACCAATACATAAAATAATCCATATACATTTTAAATATGTATGTATATATACACATATACCCAAATATATACACAAATTCACATATCTACACCTAAGTACATATATGTATATATCTACATATATACATATATACATGATTGATGTTACCTTCAGCATAACAAGCAAACAAACACTTTTTAGTTTCTGATCGTCAGACCTGATAAAGTAATTTATGGTCCGTCTTATCCTCCCAAAAGTCCCAACACATTTTCCTTAGACACATTTTTATCTTTCTTTCTGACCTGAGCAAGCCAAAAATCAACAGATCCTCAGTGAAACGCATCATTTTTTCCACTTTGTCTTGGAAGCTATTACACATCTTACACACATTATATATACTCATAGTATGTTCATATATATATATATATATATATATATATATATAAATTTCAGATGCAACTAAAAATATATCTGTAAAAGGCTAATATGAATAAAAACAAAAGGTAAACTTATCTTAGCCAACACATTTCATCCTTTGATGAAGTTTAAAATTTGAAAATTAACATTTTTACTTTTCTTTAGAAATACTTGTTGCAAAATAAAATCCTTATATTTGTCTTGATAAAGTCCATCAGAGGACAAAACGTGTTGGCTAAGATTAGTTTTCTTGTCATCTTTATTCATATAGGCATATGAAACCAAAATAATAAATAATTAATAATAAAAGGAAAATTAAAAGTTAAGTCATAAAATTACTTTAAAATATAGATAAGAACAATAATTAATAATAAAAAAGAAATAGTTAAATAAATATGAAAATTCCTATTATGCACTGGAACAGGTGTTTTTGTAACCAATTGAAACAGAAATCAAATTTTCTCTCTCTTCACCTTTGAAAGCCAAACAAGGCAAATATCTGGGGGCAGTGCTCCTACCCAATAAGCAAAAACATTTTATCTCTATATGTATATATTCTTTAAAATATAGAATTTTTTCTGAGATGTATACAAAAGCTTTTTATTGTTTTTCTTTCCACTTAATGTGTTGTATCTTGTAATTGATTTGTTTGTAATTTATATATTTCCATTGTGGGGCTAATGTTTTTAATCTCCAAACGAAATATATATATATATATATATATATATATATATATATAAAAAGGAAGTACATTCAGACAAGGCCGACCCCTCATTAGAACAACCCCCACAACATAATCATGGAACAATTTAAAACTGAGAATGAAAAAAGATCTATAGGCATAATAGAGCTTTTATTTGGCTTCAAATATAGATATTAAATATTTCTCCTATTTTATCAACTTTTTATTAGGGGAGTTAATGAAATGTTTGACTCTGAAGAAAATCTCTATGAAATATCTAGTAAATAATATGTAAATAAATGTCTAAATGAAAAAAAAATGATTGAATAAGAATAAATCTAACAACTTTGATATTTTTCTGATAATGAACTTTTTCTTTTGACAAAAGATTATTAAAACTACATTTAATTAAAAGAAAATGATAAATATATTTGAAGATGATGAAACAAAGTGGGTAATAAATATATTCTGATCAGTCAACACAATTTTCAGTCATGTTGTAAGAAAACAAAGAAAAAAAAATCTGTGATATACCTTCTGACATCCCTGGCAAAGGTTTTCCTTCAGCATCTGTTGGTACAAATTCTTTTATAAGAGCTCCATTATCATCGTCATGCTTTGAGAACCACTGGTTGACAAAAAACCAATATTCTTCAATGTCATCTTTTAATCTCTTTTCATCTTCTTGCCTAACTTTTTTAGCTGACTGTTGAGACTTTGTTCCAGTTTTGTCTTTGATGTTTTCATTCCGAGACGAAAGTTGTTTTCTTTCATCATGGACATAGGATGAATGTTTTTGTTGTTTTTTGTCTGTTCTGAAGTGTCGAATTAATAACTACAAAGAAACAAAATTTAGGGCCATACACAGAAACTTATTTCACAAGTATTATAAAAATAACATCTAATGGTAAAGAATATGTATTATTTTACATTTCTTTTTAATCATTCCACCTCAAGCAAGGTGACAATGCCACTAAGATGCCAGGGGTTGCTGAGAGAGGAAGAGAATGAGAAGATGTTAGTAAAGAGAGAGGACAATAAAAAAAACAGGATTCAAGGAGAAAGAAGATGGCAATTGATGTTGCAATTAAAATTTTTGACAGTCATTGGTGGCAGAGAAGCAAGAAACAGGTGAGAAGTGTGAGAAAAGAAACCATTAGAATAGAAATTTTACAAATGATTACATCTAATTATTTCAACAGTAAAATGATAAGACCTAATTGCCAATCTAGTATTATGCTTAAATTCTTGTGGACAAGGTACCAAGAAGGCAAGCTCATTGGAACAATTTCCATGAAAATATTTCTGGAAAATGTGCATGGAAGACACATCGTGGTAGTGGGAAAGTGACAGAAGTCAAAGGTCATGTGCGATATAATTACAGAACCTTATTTGGATTTTGTCAAGCATCTTGAGATATATAGCAAAATCACCAGACCAAATGTGGCGGCAGTGGTTGAATGGTAGATTTTTAAATATGCATGATGGATTCTAGCATGTACCAACTTTGCTAGCTGCAGACCTAAAAATTGATTCAATATGATCATTCCACTTCATGTCAGTGGAAAACCTGAGACCAAAAAGATGCAATAAGTTGCTCTCCTGGAAGTAATGGAAGGCAAAAAAAATTTTCTAAGATGACTAAAAGATAGCATTTTCATTTTTTGAGGCATTCAAATTTACAAGCCATTTCTTACCCACAACTTGATAATTTGAATATAGTCATTTTCAAGAGTAGCTGCCAGTTTGACTTGACAGGAGTAAAGATAGTTGTGACATCAGCATAAATACAGAGTTGGGAACTGATGACATCTGGCAGGTCGATGATGAAGATAAGAAACAAAGTAGGTGCAAGAGCCCTGGGGGATCTCCACATTAATGTGGAAGGATCTAGAATGGAGACTATTCAACACAACTTTTATTACAGGAATTGTTAAGAACAATTGAATTAAGTCAAATATTCTGCCACAGACACTGTAGCCCTTGAGTTTGGGAAAAAGGCCATACCCTGTCAAACACCTTAGAGATATCTAAAGACACAGCTTGCTGTTCATTATCTAAAGCTTGATAGACAATTTCAGTAATAACTGTTAACACATCAGCAATTGACCTAGAGAAACAAAAGACAAAAAAAAAGTTTATCTGAAAGAAGATTGTGTGAAGAGAGATGCTAAACCAATTCAGAGTTGATTAGAGCATTTAGTACTTTGCCAAAAAGATGTAAAAGACTAATAGGATGATAATTTGACAGATCAAAAGCTGTGCCACAATTCTTAAAGAAAGGAATTACAGAAGATTTCCAACAAGCTGGAAAGCAAGAAGGAGCAAGGCATTTGTTATAGAGTTTAGAGAGAACAGGATCCAGTTCAGGAGCACACTTCCTTAGGATAATAACAGGGAAGTCAAATCAGCAAGCCTTGTGGGGATCTAGTTTGGAGATGAAACCATGGACAGAGTTGTGTATATCACTCAGTTGAAATTCCATTCTAGAGGAAAATTCAGGCAAAGATACTCCTGATGTGTCTAGACTGGAGTAGAAAGAAAATTTACAAGCAAAGCATTATGCTTTATCAGCAGTAGATGACAAAACTTTAGACTGGGTGAAGATTTACACTTGTTCAACACACTCTTATAGAATTGCTAGTAATCTCTAGAACCAAATTTGTGAGAAGGTGCATAGTATCTCATTCTATCTCATTGAGGACATGCTTACACTCATTATGAGCAGATACAAAGAGGCATCCATTATGATTGGAATTGTCATATTGCTATATCTGGAAGAAATTATTCTTGTGGGCTATAGCAGCTGAACAGGCAGGCGTAAACCAAGGAGAAGATTGTAATTTCACTTAGTATTCCTATGTTGACATAAAGGCTTTGATGCCAGCTTTTACTCAAGAAAAAACTTAGTGGCACAATTTTCAATGGGATAATTAAATATTGAATTCCAAGAAGCAGTGTGAAGAGAATTATGAAATGAATCTGAATCTGCACATTGATAACAAAAAGATGTCCTGTTAATAGAGGGTTCTTGCTTACTAGACCAGTGGAAAGAAATATTTTAGGACACTACTGTGTGGTCAGGACAGAACTGCAAAGCACAACATGAATCTGGAGAGGAAGTAAGGAATAGATCAAGTAAAGAAGCATGTCAGTCAGAATTACTAGAGAATTGAGTAGTGAAATCTACTATTTGAGTGAGAGATTGAGAAATTCAGTCTGGCTATCAGTTAGAGCAGAGTTATATGCACATATCATGCAGTAGAGATTCTATTCTATTTCATAATAACTGTTATATATTAGATTATAAATTATGTATTATGGAACACAAGTGGTATAAATTAAAATTATGATGACCTATTAAATCCATATCATAAAACTAAAACACAGCCTGTTTTACCAAAATATTTTATAACATTATCATCTGTAATTACAAATATAATCAATATACTGAATATTTAAAATACTCATACACTTATTTATTTTACTTATTATAAATTATGAATGCAATATTTTTCTTTATTTTTGTTCAAGCTATATGTCGGAAGGTGAGTCTGTAGTCTGAAACTTTGAATTTCAATCTAAAATTTTTACTGTAAATCTGTTAATAATATTTACCACTAGACTAAGTGCATTAACAAGGAAGTATATTGTAATAAAAAATAAATATTTGTTGCATAAAATAAACGTTGTTTGATCATTTCACTAAGAATGTATTGATACATCTATGTCTGTACACTGCTTGACAAAAGAATGGACCAAATTCAATGCATTGAAATGTAGGAGAATGTTGCAGAAAGACTTGCTTCCCACAAATAGAAATTGGTTTTCTAAAGAAGAAAAATCAGATTATCTTTCAATAAGATAATGCTTTTTCTCACACTGCTAAAGAACATCAAAAAGTGGTTTGAGAACAAAGCTATCAACCTTATGTTTTGGCCTGGTCAGTGCCCAGCTTTGAACAAATATCTGGCATTAAATGCAAACGAAGTGAGGAAACATTTTTCAACTCTTCATCAACTGTTTGAAATCATTGAATGGAAAACAAATTACCTTTTTTTCTGTAAAAAAATGTGTCTGAAATTTAATAAGCTATCCAACTCTAAGTTATTCTATATATTCATTTCATTCTTGCTTATTTCCTCAGCAATGATTTGTTCAGGTCATTAAAATTTTAATATTTTGGACATTTTTTATCAGGTATATATATATATATATATATATATATATATATATATATATATATATATATATAATTATTTATTTAGAAAATTTATAACATAAACATGTTTAAAATCACTACAAAAATAGCCATTTTGTTTCAACACTCCCTGACCAGGAGTGTTGAAACAAAATGGCTATTTTTGTAGTGATTTTATAACTTGTTTATGTTATAAATTTTCTAAATAAATAATTATATCTGCTCTACTTTGTATTGAGCACTCTTTTAAGAATAGTAATTGTTGGTTATTGGAATTCATTCCGTATACACCAATTATATATATATATATATATGTGTGTGTGTGTACAGAAACTCCAAAACTAGGAAAGACATGAATCAACTATGGGTAAATAGAAAAGCAATTGGAGCCCTTTAGTCTGAAAAGGTAGTCTGTTTTGGGTATCAGGCTAGCATCATGGTCTGATATAAATTTTCTATTACAAATAATGAATGGGTCTCCATGGATTGTGTGAGAAATGGTGTGAAAAATCATTGCCTCATGCATCATGTGACATAGGAAGAGACAGCAAGAATTTAGTGAGACTATGTGAAATTTGGACCAATGAAAAACTTGTCTTCACAGAAATGAACTGTTGAGCCAAGAAGAAGAAAGAAAAGAAAGTACTGAGCATATACAAAATTCCTTTTGATATAAAATGAGGAAAAAAATTAAATTAGTAAGAGAAGAATTTCTGAAGTTATGTGAAACGTTTTATTTTTGTTCATTGCATCCAGCATTGAAATTTTCACCAGTGTCAAATTACCAATAATATTATCGGCATTTAACCAAGCACATGTCACGTCAAAGAATTTTCTTTTGACAATCTAAGAAAGCTAAGTATTCCAAACTATCTCTCTTTGTCTACTTCTGAATGTATGCAAATTTATTTATTTTTTGTGAGCACCAGACTCTCTTTGTTGTAAACATTTTTTAATATTATTTTGTGTCAGGTCATTTAATCTGTTGTATGAACATTTCCTCTTTATGACAATTTTTTTAAAACTACAGACTTTAAAATTTTTTGATTTATTTTCCTGAAACAATTTATTAACACAACTTCAAGCATGTAAATTTGTAAATAAATCCGTTAATTTGATTTGTTAAAATTATCTGCATGTTTCCTCAGCATTATCATCATCCACTAATCTTGGCATAGGTAAATCAACTGTTCATTTTAACACCTAAGCCCCACACCACTATAAATCTATATTAAATTTGTGATTCTCTGTTGTTCTCAAAATGCCCAAATCATTTATTGACTCACTTTCTCTAGAAACCATTCAGAGAAGGCACCTTTCCCATCATGTCCAACTTGGATCTTCAGTAACTGGCCAACATCACGAGTTTCTATCTGAAAAAGGAAAGCAAAATAAATAAAAAGAAAGCAAAATAAATAAAGTAACAGCTTATGAACTAAATATATCCTTGGAAAATTGATATTAGTTGGACAGTATTAACATGGGATGTGTATTTATATTATTCCAGGATATTGAATAATAATTAAAACAAGTTTTCAAGTAACTTTTAATGGAAAATTGATTCATTATAGAAATAAACTCAATTATATTATTTGAATAGCTTTTGATTTTATTTGTTTATTTATAAAAATGGCAAGTTGGAAAATTTTATGATATTTTCAAAAGATATTCTCATCTCAATGAAAAATTCAACTTTTAATATTTGATAAAAATCTGAGAACACATTGACAAGTAGAATGTCAGAAGTATTAACATTATTCAAATAAAATGTGCAATTTCATTCCAAGATTAACACTTGAATAAAAATGTTATAATGTTCAAAAATATGCAATGTAAAAAATTTCATTTACATTATTTACAATAAAACTAATTTTTAATCTTTCTTGTTAGTATGTGTGCTATTCAACCAGGGACTGGGCTGAGGAGTATAGATATATTCAGACTCAATGGAAATGGGATGAACAATGTTAAAAAAGGGGACACTTAACCAAAGATGAGATATCCCTAGAGATGGAGAGTGGAATGAGAACAATCTACTCCCATAGATTGAATAAAAAGTTCAGTTCAAAATTTCGTGACAGCACAATTACCAAAACATTTTGATGAGATGAGGATATTAGTCTGATTCTAAAAAGGTCACAAAAATGTTGTCAATATCTTGAATTTTGATCATTTTTAGTTGCTGTGAAATATTCAAATGGATTCATCAATAAAAACAAATCTTCTTTAAATTTCTAATCTGTTTATGTTTGATTGATCATCACATCATTTTGATAATGTAACTTTCTTGATAATTCATCTGATATTTTTACAATGACGGTTAATAGATATCTAAACTAAATCCAAATTTATTATTACATTATGTAAAGTTTGTGTGTGATAATTTTTATTAAAGAATAATGGAAAAATGGCATATTTTTCTCATTTGTAATGTTCCAAATATATGAAAAATCTTGTGAAATATTCTTATGTAATTTCACTAAAAGCACTTGTAATGCCTGACTGCTTTGTTGTTTTGACAGTGAAATAAGGAGGGATACTTATTCTATTTTGAAAGTTACAGATTTTCTGCTTTTCTATTTTTTTTATTTCATAGTTTTAGATTTTAGATTTACTCATTCTTCAATTAAAAAAAAAGTATTCAATCCAGTGAATCATGTTTAATCACAGTAGATTGTTTGTATCACATTGCAGAGAAATCAGAAGACATATGTGAAGGTTAGTGTAAAACTATGAGAAAACTTCTAATTATATTTTAGGATTTAAATAGTTATTCAATCAACTGTAAATTTTAAAAGCTAAATGTTATAAAAAATTTAATCACCACTTGACAGACATCAACTCCATTTTTAGACTTTGATAAATTAGATTTCATTATTATTACTAAATATCCATCATAATGATGTATTTACTATGTTACTTAAAACAGAAATTAATGCTTTCAAAATTATTGCCAAAACATTTCTGAAATAAATTACATTTTGCAAGTTGATTTTAAACAAAAAGCATTTGTATCTTTTCTGAGATGTATATACCAGTAAATTTCAGAAATATACTTGCTAATATGTTACATCAGATGTAAGAAAAGTGAATTTTCAAAATTATACATCTACTTCAAGTTTACAGAGAATTTAGTAAAATAGAATACCTTGAATTTGTCAATCATTCCTGCTTCAAAATTATCATTTTTGTTTCTCAGAAAGTACTTCTCAGTCTTCCCTTTTTTCCCAAACAGTCTGATAAATACATTTGCATCAGTACCAGCACCATTTTTATTCCCTGTCCAAACTGTCACTTCATAAGATAAGTCTTAGAGAAGAGAAAATAGAAATATTATGAGATGAAACACTGTCAATTATTAGTCATTTTTTACTAGTATTTTTTCTTATTGATTTCAGTTAATTTTTATTTCATTTTACTGCAACTTACAGGTTTCTGAGGATGACAATTTTGGGCCTCAGATGATTATTCGTTATTTACAATCTGTACAGCTAAAGAATAATAATTCAAAAAGAAATTCAAATTAAAGTTAAAGAAATGCCAGTCAAAAAATACCAGTCAAAAAATACTCATTCACCAGATTTGCTGATATATGCGATTATATATGTATATATATATATATATATATATATATATATATATATATATATATATATATATAATATCAAATCTGTAAGTGGAAAGGGTAATCCAAGTAGATAGAATCCACAGATAGAATGGAAGATAAATCCCAAACTATCAACACCTTCAGAAATAGATTTAATTTGTGTCTAGAAGAAAAAATTAAAATAATTAAATATAAAAATATTGGCCAGCTATTGAAGCAAAGGAATGAGATCATATTTAAATGTCGCCATAAAAATAGATTTAAATTATCTTATCTAGAATTTTATTTTTTTTTATTTTGCAGTCATACAATTACTTTGCAGTATTTATTGAAAGTCATATGCTTTGATTTATGTATAGGTATATGGTTTTGTGTATTTATGTATGTGTGTGTATGTATATGTCTATTTTTCTTTGGGATGATCTTGATTGCAGGCTTCACCCAGGGGTCACACTTCAGACCAACCCTCTCCTTTTACTTTACATAAATGATTGTCTAAGAATATACTCATATAATTTATGAACATCTATGCTGAAGATATGATAATATACAGGTGCACCTCCAAAACTCATGATGATCAGAGATTGGCAGCTGATCTTTCATCTGATCTACATTTTTTTAAAAATTGGCTGTTTATGTTCAATGCCTTGCAAACCAAACTAGCTACATTCCATCATTGGACCCCAAACTACCACCAATCACAATGAATGGATTCCCCCTTGGGAAAGCTCTGTGCCTTGAGAGACTATTGGACCTTAAACTCACCTTGATCTTAAGTGGAACTCGTACATATGATCCATTGCCAAAGATGCAGGACAAATGGTCGGTACCCTGCACCACTCAAGTAAGTACTATGACTTCATGTGCTATCCTCTACCTTTACAAGAGCCAGGTCAGGCCTAAAATGGATTACTGTTGTCATATTTGGATGGGAGCTGCCCAGTTCTCACTTTCCAGTCTCCAAAAGCATCTCAGAGTCCATGTAGGTGACAAATTATTTTCCACCCTCCAATCTTCCTCTCACAGGTGGGATGTGGCAAGTCTCTTGCTGCTCTATTACTACTTCCATGGAAAGTGCTCAGACAAATTGCATTCCTTGGTCCCTTCATGATCAGGAGACACTATACCACCCACATTCCCTCTGTCTTCCATTTGTGAGAAATAAGTTCCACTTGAACAGTTTCTTCCCATAAACCATTGCCCTGTGGAACCAGCTCCCAAGTGGATGTTTCCCTAATCACTACTATCTTAACCTGTCTAACTCTATGGTTAATCATTATTTTTTCCTCTTATCTGCATAAACTGAAACCCTTTACCTCAAGTGGCCCCTGCCCCTTCTACAGGTTGAACCTCACTGTAAAAAAAATAAAAATAAAAAAAACTTCTGATGAACTGTAATGTAAGAACATCATTTATTCTACATCACATCATTTATTCTATCTACATACAGAAAATCCATCTGTAGTTCAAAAAAGACAAAATGAATGACAAAAACAGCAGCAGAAATATTGCAACTGACATAAAGGCAAAGAACTTGCATAATTGAAGCCAGGTGGTCATGTATGAATACAAGTAGATGACAAAACTTGGGCATCAGCAATTGTCACAACTGCATCAGGACAAACATATAAAAGAAATAGTTGATACATATGGCCAGCAAAAGAAAATGAGAACCAAAGACCAGTATTCATATCTGATTAATTCATCTACAAAGAACCAACTATGTTAGGCACACTGTTGAGCAGAGACCCTTTCAATGATGCCACACTCAAAAGCTGGTAGAATTATAACAAGAAGTTATAAAGAAACCCTTCAGATAGAGAACAGAAATAATGTTCAGAATAATTGCTGATTCTACTCTTGTGACTGTTCATACATTATATCTTAGTGACAGATTATAGAAATATCTTTTGTTTGTCAATAATGAACATTATAATTCTCATAAAGTGAGATGGTAAATGTGATGTTTTTTTGTTTAAAGGCCTGTACAAGTCCTGGGGGCCACTTGAAATAAAGGGTTACAGAGTAAGAAGCACATTTTATGTGGTTAGAAAGAAAACGGTTAACCTTAGACTCAAACATTGTTATGGTTAAGATTGTAGTGATTGGAGAAACACTCTCTTGGAAGTCAGTTCCATAGGGAAGTGGCTCATGAGAAGAAGCTGCTTGAGTAGAATTTACTTCTCATCAAAGGAATATAGAGGGAGGGAAGGAGGGAGGGAGTATGGTTTGCTACAATGTGAGTGATATGGCTGGTCTTAGCTGTGAAGGTTCTAACTAATGGAACCAAGGGATGCAGTTTTTCTGAGCACTTATGTTACGATAGAGCAGTGAGATGTTTGCCACATTTTGTCTGTGAGAGAAGGTTTACAGGGTGGAAAATGTGTATTAATATATACAGAATTTTCTTATGACTATTATAGAAACCAATCACATTTCAGTGCAGTAAACCTTTTAGTGGACTTGAAAAACCTATTTTCCTGAAAAACTATTTTAAAAGAAAAAATTTATAAATTTCAACTGAAAGTAGCACTGACTGTTTCAGTTCACATAACAAGACAGAAAATTCAATAAATAATTTCTTTACTTATGGGCATATACTACAAGACTTAATTTGCCTTTCATTATGAAAAATATCATTTTTCAACTGAATGGCAAAATGAAATATATCAAGATTAAAAAATACTGTAACATTTTCTTCATTAACTTTAGTGATTTAAAATAAATTTGTAAAAAGAACAATTAAAATCTAGTATTTGACAAATTTGAAATAATCTTTTGAGTGTAATAGGTGTGAGTATGAAACTTTATAAAATGAAACCACTACAATTAATAAAAGCATCCTGCAAATTAAACATTAACCAAAGAAAAAAAAGTTTAAATCAGAACTTATCTTGAATTGTGCCATTATCGTGTTCTATTCAAAATAATACAGTTTGGAAGTAAATATAAACATTTTAAATACAAACAATTTTTTTATATGAATGCTGACTTTAATCAATTTCTATATACTTTATACATAAATATTGGATAAATGTATTCAGACTTCTTTAATTTAAATCATATTTAAACTACTTTCAAAAATTTATAGAACAATTTGCAAAAATACCAGATAGAAACTTAAAATCCCCAAAAAAGTAGTGTAATATACATCTGTTTTAAATCTTGACTTTAGTATTTTTTAAATACTTACATGCACACATAGATGAATATTTGAGTATATAATTAGTTTTTGATACTTTTATTTTTTTATAGATTTCTTTGACAGTACTTTAAAACTACTGTTCATTTATTGCAATTTGAAAATAAATTCATGTCTTATTGAATGACGTCAAGAAGACTAACTCTTTAGATTTGGCTAAATAATGAATAATCTCAACAATCAATAGAATTAGAGTCAATCAAAGATGGCAGAACTCTTATTTAGAAATTCAAGACCATGATAAAATTGGGAACCAAGAAATTAGCCAGAAAACTAAAGTAATATATATTTCGTTGCAAATGTTTAATCTTAAAAGCTGAGGACATCAGTCTTATGATCTTATATGTTCTTTATGTGACATGTCAAAGAAATGAACAAAGTCATTTGTTAAAGATCTGTTTCAGACTCTGAGGGATTATCTTTCTAGTTTGTGTGCTTTTCCTCTTGTGAGATATTTAGGCTAAATTCTTTAAGGAGGAATACAGGGGATGTACAAGAGGGTGCTGAAAAGTTCTTGGCTTGACCAAGAAAGGATATTCTGAAACAAAATTTGGTGTTTGGTTATTTGGACAAATTTTGTAAAATGGTTGAGGTAAAAAACTTTTCAGTACCCACCCCCCTTTATATATCTTCTTTCTGATACATAGACTCATATTTTCTAGGAAGACTTGTAAAATATTTTAGGATCATATCTGCCTGTTACAATTTCAGTTAAGACACCTTGCCTAATAAAGACATCCTCAATGATTTGTCATATACACATGTAAGGAAAAAAGCATTACACTAAGTTAGCAGAATAGAAAGAGATATGATATTCATTCATTTATCAATACTCAATGTATGTTCTATAATGCTTGTTAAACCAAATAATTATGCTTTTCACTGAAATTAGTTACTTAAAATGTCTCATATAAATTATTCAAAATTGGGGCATCTAACTTTGTTATATCCTAGTCTTTTGTAAGTGGCATCCTCTTATTAATTATTTACAATATGAAACATGTTAGCTTTAGTATTATCTATAAATACATTTTATATAAGTGAGTGTCTAATACTTAAGCATTCTCTCATATGTTATACTGTTCATGATTACAAAATAAGTATTGGTTGTGCATGCATGACATAACAGAATTTGTCATCCTTTCTTGCTTTCTTTTAATGTAACTTGAGATATTTCTGTTCATTTCACTTTTAGGCATGATCTTTTTTAATAAGATACAAAATACAACTTATTTTAATCAAATGCTTCAAGATGGGAAAACTGTTAAAGCAATCTTTCATCATTGCATGCATGGTCTTTTTTGTTTGCACTACTTATGGAATGTGAATTAGTAAGAGATCAGAACAAATGGTGGCCAGATGTTGAATGATTCATGAAAAGTGATAAAACAGCCAGCATTTGGAAACTGGGAAATATCAAAAGAAAAAAAAATCTCAATAAGGACATTCTTTGGGCAAAAGTACTGAATTGGAGTTGCATATGCCTGTGTCGATAGAAGA